CTCAAACAAATTTTATTTATTTTCCATATATAAAAAATTAATTAAATATTATCATAAAAATTTCTAATCTAATTTTCAAGGTCATCAATAATAAGTTTTGATTCTACTGATGGTGCTTCAAGCTCATCAATAGTTAAAACATCAATATTATTTTCTGCTCTTTGTTCAGCTAACAGGGATGCATTTTCTGTTTTAATTGATTCTTCATGTTCCAATTCATTTACAGGTTGTTCCATAGCAATTGCATCATCATGGCTCTCTCCAATAACAGGCTCTGGGTTTTGATAAGACCAACTTGCTCGTTGGTCATTGTAATTTGAAATTGAAATAAGTACACCAATTGCTCCAAGGCAAAACTCAAAAGAAATTGGGGTATTAAAAATAAAATATGAAAGAGTAGTTGTACATACAATAGCAACAGAAACAGCAAATCCTTTGACTATAACATCTGCGTATGTCATAACTAATGCAACAAGAATACCTCCTACTGACATAACAAATATCATAATCAAAGTATAAATGGAAAAGTCATGGAAAATTCCTTTTTGGAAGACACTTACAGAATCAAATAATACCAAATTAATAATAGAAAATACAATACTGTAAATAGATAACTGGAAATTTCGTTCCCATAAATTTAACTTTGGACTATTATCTACTTTATTCTTTAAAATCTTTTCCATAAATACTCCACTAAATCCACTTGCAGTAGCTGCAAGAAGAGCTGCTCCAACTCCAATGAAATAATGTCCACCTTCTACAGCACTGTTTCCTGTTGTTGTTCTACTAGCACTTTCTACTGTAATGACTGCAAGAACTAACGTTGCAAGGCTTCTCCATTGTGTAGCTGTTAACTTTTTACCAAGAATTAGTACTGAGAGAATAGCAGCAGAAAGTATTTTAACTTGAGTAAGTACAGCATATAATCCAGGTTGAATATTAGCTAATGACACTTGACATAATATGTTTTGGAAAAAATAAATAAATGCAGGTATACTTGAGATTAGTGAAGTCATTATTAAATATTTTAAATGAGAAAAAATAATTACATCCTTACGGGTAAGTACAATTCCAATGATTGAAATAACACATTTAGTAATTTCACTTAATAAAATTGAAGCACTTGTAGAATATTGTTCTTTTAGAATACCTCTTGAATAACGAGTAATCAATGAAAGAGATGTGTTTTGAATCGTTAAAGCAACAAGAAAGATGATACTTAAAATTGCTTGGTTCATGAATTGAATTATGAGATGTCTTTAGGTTTGATATACTTTTTTATTTTTCCTGAGATTATTCTTTGACTAAAATTCCATTTTTTTGTTTTTTTCATTGATTTTTGATATCTGCGAATAGGAAAAGAATGTCAAAAAAATTGAGCTATTGAATAATATTTGAATAAGAAAACAGCAACCATTTGTCTTATTAACTGAATAATCTGATTTTAAAATGTTTAACGATAACAACAAAATTCTTGATGAAATAAATTATCAAATGATTTCATCATCTCCTAATAGAATATTTAATATACTTCAAAATTATAAAAAAATTTTCTTTCATATTATTGTTCATCATATAATTCAAATTATTGCGTTATTAATTTGTATAATTCTCATTTCAACAAATTTCTCTATAACAGAACATCCTTTAGGTATTAAAATATTAATTAGTGAAATGGTTTTTTCTGTTATTGCATTGTTTATTTATATTTGTTATCTTCCATTATTATTCATTGCTTTTAAAACTCATCCACTTTTTATTGCAGACCCTAATGGTAAACCACTTTTTGCTAAGATTGCTAATTTGGTTCATCGGTTTTACTCATTAACTCTTGGAATAAACGTTATCCTCTCATTATTACTTTCTTTTAGTTTTAATCCAACAGGAAGTTTACATAAAAGAAGTGATGGTATTTATTCGACACTTGTTTGTTTCTTAATATTCCTTGGACTTTCTTGCGGTGAAATTCAAAAACCTTTATTGTTTATCACTCGTAAAATAAAATCAGTTGAAATTAGTTTTAATGAACTTGAAGTAGAAGAACCTTTGAAAGGGTCTTCTTTTGCTGATAAAATTGGTGTTTTTACTTTGGGATATAATTTTATTGGATTTCAGTGTTATGTCAAATATCATTTTGACCCAAACCAGCCTACAATACAACCAGAATTATATCTTAGTGGATGGGTAAAGAATTTCTAATTGAACCTTCTAAATGATTATTGTTTCAATAAGAATAAAAAAAAACAAAATTATTTTTTTTTTGTTTTTCTCAAATGATATGTTTAAATGATGAAAAATAGCCACGTTGATAGTTATTTTAATAATCATACTTCATCTCAATAACTAAAATGAGACCGGCTTGGAGACTTAACAAAAAAATTAATCTTTCTGGTACTTCGCCTAAACCTAAATCATCTCGAGAAATACTTTTTCAAATTCAAATTCAAAAAAAAGAAAGAGAAATAAATCACCAACGTGAAAATGCTGCAATACTTATTCAATCAGTTATAAGAAGATACCAAGTAAAGAAAATTATTCCATCTTTGTTTACAGAAAATTTTAGATTATTTAAAGAGTCAAAAGGAAACAAAGAATATAGTTCTTGTATTACTGCAGCTACTTTAGCTCCTTGTGTTAAAAATAATACCTTTGCTTTAACACTTCTAAATTATCAAAGAAATCATCCATTAATTGGTAAATTAGCATGGAATTTATTAATAAGTGAAACCCAATTAAATCCACGAGCAATATTGATGCTTGTAAATACATTTATTAATAAACCTATAGTTCCAAAGGATTATCCAAACAAAAAAATATTACCAATACTCCCTTTTCAATTAAGACAACAACTAATTACTACTTTATGTCTATATCCAAATCAAGGATTATTAAATTATTTAACACTTGAAGGTGAATCAATTATTCCATTATCCAAACAATCATTGGATTATTTATTTACTGTTGACTTAACAAATTATCAATCATTAATTACTTATTTATTACAATCATCTGAATTACCTCCAATTTATGAAGTTAAATTCATTAGTGAATTGTCATCAATAGAAACTGTAAATACAAGAATATTAAAATTATTACACAACAAGAAAGTGCCTATTCCAACTAAAACTACTTTCTTTATACATTTAAATTTATATAAGTTAATCAAACAAAGTCAAACATTATTACATTTATTTTTACAGAATTTTCCATTCCCTTTCTTAGAGTTAATGCAACCATTTATTGAAACAGATGCACCATATCATGATGATGCAGTTAATTTATATATAAGTCTTTGTCATGATGTTCTTTCATCAAGACTATACAGCAATTTATATGAAGATATGTTACCTTCATTGAAATATTTATTACCTTTATTAAAAATTAATGAAAACCAACAGATAATGCAAGACCTACATCTTCTTATTCGACATTCTCCATTTCCACCATCATTACTTCCATTTACAAAAAGTGTAAATCCAACACTCTTCTCTCCATTACCTCAAAAACTTATTGGAATATTTTCTAAGTTAAATAATGATATCATATTTAAATCAACAATAAAAATAAGGAGAGATTATCTCATTGAAGACAGCTTGGCACAAATTAATCACTGTGATATGCATGCAATTCAAATCAAATTTGTTGACCAATTTGGAATAGAAGAAAATGGGGTAGATGGTGGTGGGTTATTAAGAGACTATCTTATTTCAACACTAAACTCTTGTGTTGAAATACTACATGTATTTGAGAGAAATTCTGATGGATTATTAACATTTGGTCAAATACAAAAGAATTTAATTGAAATAAATGAAGATGAATTATATCAAATGGTAGGGCGGTTAATTGGTAAATGCTTAAGCGAAAAAATTTCAACTGATTTAGTATTTTCTGATGATATTTTGATAGGACTAACTAATCCAGAAGATGATTCTATCAATATTAATACACTTGCTAGTATTGATTATATGCTTGCAAAGAATTTAAATGAATTAAGTGATATGAGCGAAGAGGAATTGAAATCATTAGAACTAACATTTACATATGATAATGTGTCATTAATTACTGGTGGAGATAAAATATTTGTCAATAAAAATAATGTAAATTATTATATTTCATGTGTGATATTTTATATAACACACATAAGAAATAGCAAACGAGTTAGGTCATTGAGAAATGGATTATTAAATGTTATTAAGGAAGAAGATATTAGATTATTATTTCCTGATGAATTACAACACTGGATAAGTGGTAAGTCAAGTGTTATTGATGTAAATGATTGGCAACAAAATACAGTATATCATAATATTAAACCTGATGACCAATTAATTCAATGGTTCTGGAGTATTGTTGAATCTTTTTCAGAAGAAGAAAAATCATTATTATTACAATTTAGTACTTCATTGATTAAACCACCTTTCTTTGGATTTGGATCATTAGAACCTAAATTTGCAATTTCTTTCACTAATCAATCTTCTGAATTTTTACCTACATCATCTACATGTGCTTATATGTTAAGAATACCCAATTACAATTCTAAAGAAGAAATGAAACAACAACTTATTAAAGCAATAACATCAAAATCAGGATTTGCATTTTCTTAATATAAAGTTAAAAAAAAAAAAAATAATTTATTTGTTGTATTATCTTTTTTGTCTAAAAAAATAATCGTAAATGACCCATTATATCTATTTAAAAAATAGATTTTAAAATAGATTTTAAAGGTGAAGTTAAGACTATGCACAAAAACTAGATTAGTGATTTTTTTTTGGTTATACTCACCTTAGTGAAGTTTGCTTATCTAATCGTTATTAAAACGAGAAAAAATCCCGATGAAATCCAACGTTTTCTGGTTTGTTCTTTATAGAAGTGTTGATTCTTTTCATTAATCTTTTTTTGGAACAGAGAAAAAGAAATAAAGAAATAAGAAATAATAAGAAGTAAACTATATTCTCATAGAAAAATTCCAAATGAAAAGCTACTTAAACTCAGTTTAGAACTGTTAAAAATAAATTCAAATTGTTTTTAATGACTACAAATACTTATAAATTAGTTATGCTTGGTGGTGGTGCTGTTGGAAAGTCTGCCATCACTGTTCAATTAGTTTCTGGACATTTTGTACAAATTTATGACCCAACCATTGAAGATTCATACAGAACTTCTATTTCTGTTGACGGAGAAATGGTTTCACTTGATATTTTGGATACTGCAGGTCAAGAAGAATATTCTGCTTTAAGAGATCAATATATGCGATCAGGAGATGGATATGTTATTGTATATTCCATTACATCAACCACATCTTTCTTAGAAGCCAATGGATTTAGAGAACAATTATATCGTGTTCTTGATAAGGATGTATCTGAGCATGTTTCTATTGCACTTTGTGGTAATAAATGTGATTTAGAAAACGAAAGACAAGTAGAAACTGCAGAGGCTAAAAAATTAGCTGACGAATGGAAAGTGTTATTCTTTGAAACCTCTGCAAAAGCTAAAATTAATATTACTGAAACATTCCAGGCGTTAGTTAAAGATATAAAAGTGAATAGAGTATCATCAGAACCTACTGCCTCTATTGAACCTACTGACACAAAAGGAAAGAAAGAAAGAAAACCTTCTAAATCAAAGTGTGAATTGTTATAAACAACATTAGAAAATTTTGACTTATGTTTTTATTGAAAAAGAATAAAATTGATTTTTTCTATTAATTCTTATTCTTTTTTTCTTCGTTTTCTTAAATAACTAAATTAATTTGACATAACAAAATATAATTAAAGCAAATGTAAATTTGACAAATTCTGTTATAATAAATTTTATTCGCTCCAGTCATCGTCATCTTCTTCTTCTTCATCAGAAGAAATATTAGTGTCTTGTCTTCTTGCGGTAAGAATTCCTCTTAATGCTAAAACAACCTCATCTTCTTGGACCACTCGTTCTTCAATTTCAGTTGCCTTTAATTTACCTTGTTTAGCTGCAATCATTTCTGCTAATGACAGAGTTGCACCAGAACTTGGTGTCATTGTAGTTGTTGGTGAACTTGTTACGTTTAATGTTGGAGGAGGTGGTGGTGGCATGCTCAATGTTGGAGGAGGTGGTGGTGGCATGCTCAATGTTGGAGGAGGTGGTGGTGGCATGCTCAATGTTGGAGGAGGTGGTGGTGGCATGCTCAATGTTGGAGGAGGTGGTGGTGGCATGCTCAATGTTGGAGGAGGTGGTGGTGGCATGCTCAATGTTGGAGGAGGTGGTGGTGGCATGCTCAATGTTGGAGGAGGTGGTGGTGGTGTAGCAATTGATGATGGAGAGGATGTTTTCGCACTGGAATCTAACAAAGATGCTTTAAACCTTTCGGTTTCTTCTTTTTCTTTTTTAAGTCTTTCAGCCTCTTGTTTCAATCGTTCTTCTTCTTCTTTCAAACGTGCTGCTTCTTGTCTTAACCTTTCTGCCTCACGTTTCATTTCTTCAAACTCAGCCATTCTTGCTTTTTGTTCTTCTTCCCATTTCCTTCTTTCTTCTTCGTGTCGTCTCATCCTTTCTTCATCTTCTCTCTTTCGTTTTTCCTCTTCTTCTTTTCTCGCTTTCTCTTCTTCTTCTTTTCTTTTTCTTTCCTCTTCTTCTCTCTTTCGTTTTTCCTCTTCTTCTCTTTTTTTCTTTTCTTCTTCTTTTCTTTTTCTTTCAGCTTCAATACGTTTTCTTTCTTCTTCAGCTTCTTTTAATTTACGTTCTTCTTCTTCAAGTTCTTTCTTTAATCTCTCAACTTCTTCTTCTTCTTTTTTACGTGCCTCTTCTTCCTTTCTCTTTCTTTCTTCTGCTCTTCGTCGTTTCTCTTCTTCTTCTGCTCTTTTTTTCTTTTCTTCTTCTTGTTTAACTCTAAGCTCTTCTTCTTCTTTCTTCTTACGTTCTTCTTCTTCTTGTTTCTTACGTTCTTCTTCTTCCCGTTTAATTCTCTCTTCTTCTTCTTTTCTCGCCTTTTCTTCTTCTTCTTTTCTCTTTCTTTCTTCTTCGGCTTTACGTTTTTCTTCTTCTTGTCGTCGTTTTTCTTCTTCTTCCTTCTTCTTTCTTAATTCCTCTTCTTTTTTCTTGTGTTCTTCTTCAAGTTTTCTTTTCTTCTCTTCTGCCTCTTTCTTCTTTCTTAACTCCTCCTCTTTTCTCTTTCTTTCTTCTTCGGCTTTACGTTTTTCTTCTTCTTTTCTCTTACGTTCTTCTTCTTCCTTTCTCTTACGTTCCTCTTCTTCTTTTCTTTTTCTTTCTGCCTCAGCTTTACGTTTCTCTTCTTCTTGTTTTCTCTTTAATTCTTCTTCTTTCTTTCTACGCTCTTCTTCTTTTAACTTTTTTAATTCCTCTAGTTCTTTCTTTCTCTTTTCTTCCTCTTCTTTTCTCTTACGTTCTTCTTCTTCCTTTCTCTTACGCTCTTCTTCTTTTCTTTTTCTTTCTTCCTCTTCTTTTCTCTTACGTTCTTCTTCTTCCTTTCTTTTTCTTTCAGCTTCAACACGTTTTCTTTCTTCTTCTGCCTTTCTTTCTTCTTCTTCTAATCTCTTTTGTTCTTCTTCCAATAATTTTTTCTCTTCTTCAAGCCTTCTTTGTTCTTCTTCTTCTTTTTTTCTTCGTTCTTCTTCAATTTTTCTTTGTCTTTCTTGTTCAATTTTTCTTTTAGCCTCTTCTTCTTTTCTCTTACGTTCTTCTTCTTCCTTTCTTTTTCTTTCAGCCTCTTCACGCTTACGTCTTTCTTCTTCTTTTCTCTTACGTTCTTCTTCTTCCTTTTTACGTTTAATTGCTTCTTCTTTCTTTTTACGTTCTTCTTCAAGTTTTCTTTGTTTTTCTTGTTCAATTTGTTTGAGTCGTTCTTCCTCTTCTTCTTTTTTACGTTCTTCTTCTTCCCTTTTCTTTCTTTCTTCTTCTTTCTTTTTACGTTCTTCTTCAAGTTGTTTCTTTTTCAGTTCAATAGCTTCTTTTCTTTTTCTTTCTTCCTCTTCTTTCTTCTTTAACTCTTCTTCTACTTTTCTCTTTTCCTCTTCTTCTTTTCTTTGTTCTTCTTCTTCTTTTCGTTTACGTGCTTCTTCTTCTAATTTTCTCTTTCGTTCTTCTTCAGCTTTCTTTTTTCTCAATTCCTCTTCTTTACGTTGTCTTTCTTCTTTAATTCTTTTGTTCTCTTCTTCTTCTTGTCGTAAACGTTCTTCTTCCTTTTTCTTTCTTTCTTCCTCTTCTTTCTTGAATCGTTCTTCTTCTTGTTTTAATCTCTCTTCTCCTTTCTTATGTTGTTTTTCAGTTTCTTCTCTCATCTTTCTAATTTCATCTTGTTTTCTTTGAATTTCTTCACGTTTTCTTTGCATTTCCATACGTATTTTTTCTCTTTCAATTTCATCTTGTTTGTATTGTTCTTGTCTTTGGATATAAGCATTAAGTGATGCTGATCCTGTCAAAGTATTGTTCTTTCCACTCTTTGGTAATTTTTTTCTTTGAGCCACAATTTGAGCCGCACTTGACTTGAGTCCCATACTAGAAGGTTTGACACATTGGTCTTCTTCATTACCCTGTTGTAGTTCTTTGTTAACACCATTTATATCTTCACGGCTGTCTTGATAAACAATGTCTTTAGGAGTTGATGTTTGTTTAGCAAACTTTGCTTCATACCCATGTGATTTTGCAGTTGTTTGTTCTGCTCTCTTATCTTGTTGTTCTCTTTCCCAGCGTTGTCGTTGGACAAATGTCATTTTAGACAAATCAACTTCTTCAGTTTGTTGATTAGTTTCTTGTTTCATGCCTTCCTTTTGTTTTTCTTCAATAGTGCTGCTTTGTGTTGCAGACTTTTTGAATGAAGGAGTTGGCTTAACAACATTACGTGTTACAGAAGTTTTTTGTGCTTCTAAGTCTTGCTGCTCTCTCAAATATCGTTGTCTTTGGACAAATGACATTTTAGATAAATCAACTTTTTCTTTATCACTATTATTTGTATTTGATGGAGATGAGCTTGTAGGTGATGATTTAAGATTTACCAATAATTTAGGTTGGCTAGCAGTAGATTGGTGGTTAGATACTATAGGTTTTTCAATGTTAGGTTGTTGAGTTTTTGGTGATTTAATAGTTTCTTGTACAGTGGATGATTCTGTTTCTTTAACAGGAATATTACTTTGTTTTTGTATTCCTTTAACTGTAGTATTTGTTTTAGCAGGTTCAGTGGATTTAGAAACATTTTGAGACATATCTTTCAAGGTTGGCTCTGGTGATTTAGCAACTCGTTGTGAAGAAAAAGACTCTTGTTTAGAAATACTTGGTTGCTGTTTTTGAGTATTAGTTGACGTTTTAACTAATGGTTGTTTCATTTGTTCAGCACTTATTTGATGAGAAGGTGTTAGTGATTGCTTTCTTGTTTGAAGAGTTTGTGATGTTGTTGGTTGTGTTTGTTTAATTGGAGATGATATAGTAGAGTTGATGTGAGAACCTGTTGATACTTTATTTTCATTCAAAGATGATGTAGGTGATTTAGGTGTTAGTGGTTTACTAGTATTAACTGAAGCAGTAGTAGTTTGTTTAACTACACTTGATTTATTAAATGAGTTCATTGAAGAGCTTTGTGGTTGTGATGGTGTTGTTTGTTTAAGGGTAGAAGAAGATGGTGTTGTAAATGATTTTTTTGTAATAGGTTGTGGTTGAGGATTAGAAACAAAGTGAGTGGGATTATTAACTGATCCTGACTTTGCAGACGTATCAATTTTTGAACCAAAAGCATGAGGAGCAAATGAGGATGAGTTTTGTGATTTTTGAGTTGATGACTCATTATTACTAGAAGGTGTACTAACAGTAGGTGTTGATGTGCTAGAAGGTTTATTTGTTGTACTAGATGTAGTTGTTGGTTTAACTGATTTTTTTGAAAACATACTATTAGATTTTGTTTGTAATTTAGGTTGTGTTGTTAAAGACGAAGGAGTTTTAGAACCATAACCAGTAGGTTTAGGTGTTATTAGTTGTTGGGACTCAGGACTTTTTGAGTTAGTAAGTGTTGGTTTTTCTGGAGTTTTTATTCTGGTAGGAGAATTTTCTACATTAGTTTGTTGTTTAGTTGGTGTTTGACCAAATTTTATTGATGGAGAAGTAGAAGTTTTTTGAAACAAAGCTTGTGTTGTTTTTGTTGAAGTCACAGAAGATGATTGTGTTTGGTGTTGAGGAGTAGTATTTGGTGATTTCATATGTGGTTGTCTTGTACTTAAGAAAGAACTTTGTTTAACATCAGTTTGTGGTTTAGCAGAAACAAAGTTGGGTTGTATTCTTTGTTTTCCTTCTATGACTTTATATCTCTGTTTTACAGAAACAGACATTCTTCTAACATCATGAGCAGAGACTTTCTGTTTATCTAATTCTTCTTGAGTTTTTTTAACATAAACTGATTGTCTCATATAAGCATATACTTTCTTTCTTGTTTCTGGATTTTGAAGGTCTTTCTTTTTAACACCAGCCTCTCTTAATATAATTTTCCATGACTCTGGTAATTGTTCTGGAGGACAGTTATCATCAAGTGCTTCAAAGTTAATACTTTGTGGTTTATTCATAGTCTTTGTTTTTGAGTTCATTTAAGTTCATTTTGACCTTCATTTCCAATTTTCAAGAGATGATCTTTTTCCCATCTTTTTCATTTTACTTCCCTAAAAAAAATAAACATCAAAAACTACTACCTAAACAACAATCTTATTTTTATCATTGTTCCTTATCAAAAAAACAAAAATTTATATTTTTATTACCTTCTCTTGCAACTACAAACAAATAAAGAGTTAACAATATAATTAGTAAATATAAAGTGCCGCTTTAAACATTAAGAAAGTGTGTGTAACCAATAAGTGGTTCAAGACTTTTAATATAAGTAACACTAATAAAATATACTAAAATTTTTTCTTTTTTAATCAACTATTTGAAGTTAAGAAATGACGTTCAGTTACATATAATAAATAAATGGACAATCTATAAATTGTACGACTTTTAATTGGAGAGTCTCGCTTCATAGAAAAAATCCTATAAACTTGTATTATTAATAAATTCTTTTTTTTTATAATTTGACTCATTTATACATGTATTTCTTCTTATTTTACAAATGACAATAAAAAGACTGATTATTAAAACTGAAATGTGTTCATTTTATATTTATCATTTCAGATATTTGAAGATGTAAGAGATATTCTTATATTCTTTTTAATTTTCATTTCTAATATTCTATATTTAAAACAAAGACATAAATTAATACAAGGCATTTCATGTCAATTATTCTGATTTGTTGTAATGTGAAATTACATCTTCTAAAAGTGTGTTCAACTTCATTTATATTCAAATGAAGACTGACGACAAGATGATTGTTCTTTAATATTTTCTTTATAAACAATAATATCATTTCCAAAATATCCAAATTCAAGCAAACAATCAGATGATTTATTAAATAAATAAAATGCGTATTGTTGCTTTATAATATTCAAAATTATTCATTTCTTCCTTTTGATTCCAATGAAAATACAAATGATTGTGAATCATATATCCATTCATCAATTTTATAAATTTTCTCATTAACATATCCTCCAAATTTCTTTCCTTCTTCATCTTCAATAATAATTACTCGACGTTCATTATTCATTATTCTTTGTTTAAGTACTGATGTTTCTTTATTCAAAACATAACTATCTGAATCAAATAGTATATTAGATATTCTTCCATTTGGTGAATTTCTTCTAATTGTATCATCCTTTGTATTTTTATGTTATCTCTTGTCATTCTAAACTTCAATATTTCATAAAATTATCAATAATAACTAGATAGGTTTGAAAATAATGTTAATCTAAATGAAATTAACAATAAATTCAGTAGTTACTATGAAAGAAATATCAATAATAAAAGAAATATCAATTCATTCAATACAGAATTGCTATCAAAAAATTATTTTCAAATAAAATGTGTTTGATGTTGATAATTAATAAAACTAATTTTAATTTAACAAAGTAATAAAAAGAATTAAAATAGTCTATTAATTATTATATTATTCTGTTTCATGTTACTTAAAATATATAAGACAAGTGAAATGCAGAAATAAGAATAGTTAAAATGTAATAAAAAGAATGTGTGTCTTATTTTTTTTCAAAAACATTGTCACATCTACTAAATACAAGTCATTACATTATTTAATTATTTAATTCTGCATTAAATAATAATATATATTATATTTGAATATATTTAACATGATATCAAAGAGATATGATTTATTGTTATAATATGTTGTTATGATATAGTATCAAATGTTCAATAAACAAATAAAGAGAAAATAATATAATAGCAAAATAAATTATAAATGCAATAAATAATAATAAATTGAAGTCTCATTCGCAAAGTTATTGTTCAAATGTTATGTGTTATTATAAAATTTAAGATGATATAAAAGATTTATCAATAATGTCAATAGTAAATAAAATATACCATTAATAACTCATGTTCATAGAATAATAATTTATAATAACACTAAAAATATATAACATGTTTGTGCAAAAGAATAAAAATAAATGATAACTTTCTGAAGTATTTCATTAAATAGTTAGTATATTCTTTACCACAAACAAACCTGAGTATTACAAAAGATAGATAAGTAATAAAGTTATTGACAGTTTATTACTTTTCTGTATGTCATTATCAAACTAAATAATAGTTAAGTTATCAATAGAGAAAATAAAAATAACCAAATCTTTGATAATATTGTTATGAATAATATTATTTTTTTTAAATTACACTTTAAAATAAAAAAAGTGTATTTTGAGTAATATTTTAAATCATAAATATGATATATTAAAAAGATTAATCAATCCTGTTTATAAAATGGATTTACTTCTTTATTTTACTATAAAATTTTGTTTTTTTTTTGATATTTATTTCTTTTTTAGTAATACCACTTGTAATATGTTGATAATTATTTTCTCTATTACATAAAAATAGAAATAAGTTGATAAGTAAAAAGAAGCATTGATTCAATTCTTTCCAATTTAGTTATTAATTAGAATAAGAAATATGTTTATTGACATAGAACTTCATTTCTCATTTCAAAGTATTAGAAATTAGGGAAAGGATGATATTTGTTATAATTCTTGAAAGTAATGAAAATATAAGAAGAGTAAGTTATAAACTCAATTAGTTTTATAGTTTAATGGTACTTTAATGTATTAAATCTAACAGTCTTAATATTCAAAATGTATTTATTTCTGTGGATTATTCTCTTCCCAAGGTTTTTCCATTTCAACATTGACAACTGGATGACCAATTAAATCACGGATAACAGACTCAGCACATTTAACTCCAAACCATTGAAGTAATATAAGAAAG